CTCACTAGAACGTGCCCCCCCCCCCCCCCCTCCGTGTGTCTTCCCCAGCTATTCTGGGGAGCAGGAAGCCGGCGCCACGTGGGAGCACAGTTTGGCCCCTGCTGTCTGAGCCAGTGGCTTGACGTGCCCAGCTGAGCGGGATCCTAGGAACAGCCTGTCTCTAGGTGACAGACACGCAGTCAAGAGCCCGGCAGTGAGGAGCAGCAAGCGACTGTGGCCCCTCTCCATAGCAATCTCCTTGGGCCCCTCTCAGCCAGGAAGGGGCAGCCGGTGCCCTCACCCGAGGGGCCAGCACCTCTCCCCGCGCAGGAGGGAGCAGCAGGAGAAAGAGGCGCAGGGTTTTGTTTCCGTTGTTGACACGCTGTGGCTATTTCTGGTCTTTTCCCTCCCCGCCCCTGGTTCTGTGGCTGCTGCTTGGGAGAAGTAAACATCCGAGCAGCTGCAGCCCTGGAGAATCTGAGGCGCTGGGTGGGAGGCTGGTGCGTGTCAGCCGATACTGACGGGGAGCACGGCACAGCATTGGCTCCTGGTTGCTGTTCGGTCTGGGAAGACTCTAGGCGTGAGGTGCCCGGAGTAGGCTCTCCCGCTTCAAGCCGGGGCCAGCATTCTGTCTTTTTCCACCCATGTGCGGAATACATTTTGTTCTGTGCACCGAGACACGTGGGGATGGGCACCCCCAACAGACACACACGCTGCTGGCCCTGCATGCTCTGCTACTCAGCTGGGCGGCACTGGGATCGCTCCTGGGCCCAAGTGCTCAGCTTACAGGGGACATGAGCCGGGGGGGGCGCCAGCACCCCTACTTCCAGCCCCTCTGACTCCTACCTCTTCCTGCAGTCTGTCTCAGGGGGCCGCAAGATGGAAATCCAGTGGTGGGCCACCTGCATCCCATGGCCTGCTGGGATTGCACCTGCAGCCCGCACCCCGCTCCCCCTTCCCCCCAAGCCTCTTTCATACTGGAGCCCCCATTTACCTCCTCCTCCCCTCCCTCCCAGCACTTTCGGAGCACCTTGAATCCGCTGCTTCAAGGCCGTTCAAGCTGCGGGAGGGAGGGGGAAAGGAGGCTGGGGAGCAGGGCTAAGCGGAGGGGAAGTGGGGGAATGAAAGACTGGAGGAGCAGGGAGGGGGTGGGGGAGGCGAAGGCAGGATGCAGGACCGGCTGAGACAGGAAGGACTGAAGTTGACAGTCCCTGGATCCAATCTCCCCGTGGGGGGGGGGGGGGGGGGGGGGGCAGAAGCAGATCGGGCTCACGGCTGTCTCCTCCCTCAGCGGAGGGTGTGCAAACCCAGGCCCAGCAGCGAGGCCGGGCCCCCCAGGCAGGGGAAGAGGAATCCAGGCTGGAAACAGGGGCAGGGGCAGCTCCCCAGGAAACCGAGCGAAGCCTGCGGCTGCTAGTACGTGGCTGGCCGTCAGGCCCTGTTGCTTGCCCCTCTTCCAGCCCTGCCCCTTCCCATGCCACCTGCCCGGCTGTTTTCCAGGTGGACTGTTACAACTCCGTGGAGGGAACAATCTACAACTACGGGGCCGTCACCATAGACGGGCGAGAGTACGTCCCCTTCAGGAAGTACAAAGGGAAGATGATCCTCTTCGTGAACGTGGCCACCTACTGAGGACTCACCCTGCAGTACCTGGGTAAGACCCCCTGCCCGGGGGGGCGGGCGATAGGGGTATTCTTTACAGCGCAGTGCCCTGGAGCAGGCCTGTGTGAAATAGGGGCTACAGGGCCGGCTTGCCTCGGCCCCCGCGTACTCCACTCGGAAACGCGGCGGCCGGGCGGTTTTGCTTTAAAATCTGTGAGCCTGGAAAGGGGGAGGGAGGGAGGCTTTAGGAGCTGCGCCTGCCCCCAGCACAATCCCATTGGCCGGTTTTTGGCCAAGGGGAGCCTGCCTGTTTCAATAACAGGCAGCCATGAAACACCACGCCCCTCCCCCTTGGGGCTAGAAGTTATTCACAAGACATATGGCTGCAGCCTGTGCTGGGACATGGCAGAGAGGCTGCTTCAGGAAAGTGCTGGGCTGCTGGCTGGTAAATCTCCTGGCCAGAGCCTGCCCCTGACACCCCAGCCCCTC